AGACTTCTTACCTTGTATTATTGTATTGTATATTTCAAATGAGCTAGAAGCTTTTGAATGTTCTTACCAAATAGAAACGATAAATGTTTGAGGTGATGGATATGCTAATTATCCTGATTTGATCATTGAACAATATATAAATGTATTAAAACATCGTATTTGCTCCATACAGACATATGATTATTATCTATCAATTACAAATAAACTAAAAATTTTAGAAAGAATTAAAAAGTTTTTTACTCATCTAAATTCAATATTTTATTGAATCTTAATCAATAGCTTTAGGCTTTAGTAGCATGAAAACTTGGGCAAATTAAGCTTAAAATTGAGTTAAACCTAACTTCAGCTGTACACACAGACTTTATAAAAAATAGAATCCTCAGATTGGCTGTTTTGATATTAAAGGAGAGGCAATATTCCTGATTTATATTCTTGATTCAAGTCTAAGATCTTAGCGGGAATGAAAAGCTTAAAGGGATACAGATCAATACCAGGGTCAGTCTTGTAAACAAATCCATTTCCCTAGATTTCTGATTTCCTTTTAGTATCTCACTCTGTACCTATGACTTAGGTCTCTAAGCCCTTTTCCGAATGTGCTTATATTGTAGTTTGTAGCAATACACAATGTTTCCTTTTATCTTTCCTAAAATAATTTATTTTAGATAGCAAGATGGTCCTTATCACTGTCATTCTGGATAGATAGCTTTTCTGGAGCTTTTCCAGCTCCTTTATGTCTTCCTAAAAGTCGGTGTGCTGACATGCACATGGCCCTCCAGATGCCTCTGCTGCAGACTTTAAGAAAGAGGGATGGTGGAGAGACTCGCTCGTGCTGTATCTGTTTCTAAGTCATTGCTATGTTCTGGTGTATAATGTTAAAAAATATCTAGTGTTGTTTGGGAGAAATATCCTGCAATAGACTGGCTTAGAAAAGTAGTTTTTGTTAGCAGGAAGGCAATATGATTGTTATCAGAACTTCCAGACATGTGAAGTAGTCTGCACGGCAGAATCACATGCAGGACTGAGACTGACCAAAGAGAAGGAGGAGATATACCATTATTGAGCCTGATGAATTATTCTAAGTGATTTACACTCTGAATTTTTGATATAGTAACACTTAAGTCCTCCATAATTGGGGGAAAGGCCAGAAGTGAAGTAACTTTTCCAACATCCAGATAGGTTTTTTACCCAGCCACATTCTTCTCTTTGTGTCAGTCAAAAAAATTTATTGATCACCTATTCTATGCCTCCCAGTGTGCTAGGCTGTGCAGTTTCAATGACAAGTAAGATAGGATCCTTGTCTTTAAAAATATTTGAGTCCGTTGAAAGGAAGCAGATATGTAAGCAAGTAAACATAGTTAAATGATTATGTGTGAGAGAGAGCACGTGTGTGTTCTAGAAGTTTGCTCTTTGAGTTTCCTTCACAGCTTAAAATAGATGGGGTAGAGAAACTCTCATTCTGGCAGAAATTTAGGTTATGACAAGTCAGCTTTCAGGGAGGGAAGTTAGTATGGCAATATGCTATAGGAGGGTCCACAGTTCCCTCAACTGTATAGCTTTAATAGGACCTGAAAATTTCTATGCTTAGGTAAGAATAAAAACTGATTATYCAACCATATGTTGAGTTAAACAAGCAGCCACTACTAATGCTAATAATCAACAGAAAAGTCAATAGAATCCGAAATAGCTAGCAAAATGTCTTCCTTTACTTGTTTTATAATTATACCCCATTTCTTTTACCTTTCCTGTGGAATAGTATCTGATTAACTTTTATGTCTCTTAAAACCCCACATAGGTCCTCCATAATGTTTGCTAATCATCACCACATGCACTGAGATGGAGCTCAGTGATCATTGTACCATTTAGTGACAATTATCCCAAGAGTTCCAGAGTGACATTTGGTTCCCCACGCATGACTGGGGAATGAACCAGGATCATTCATCGCCATCTCAATAATAGTATTCTCTACTTACCTCACATTTCATGACGTACAGATTTTTATTTTACAAAACTTCCATCTTTGCAAGACTGTACTATCTATCACAGTGCCAATGCTCAGAGCATGCATGGATCATTGTTTAATTTCAGTGCAGATCACACCCAGGAATCCCAACATGCCTTTACATTTGTTAGTAAAGGTTTTATAATAACTGATTGAGGACAGCTGGATATTGTTTATGCCATAATGAAAATAATAATAATTACTGCTGATTAGCACTGTCCTGTGCCAGGAACCTGGTATTTGTTACCTTGTATAATTTTCACAGCACTCTTAGAAGTGGTTAATATTATTGTTCTTGTTTCGCCATGAGTGTTATGAGGCTTTAAGTCAATTACTAATAACTAGACTCAGTGTACTTTCAAAACCAGGTCTACTCTTCTTACAGTTGATTACCAAGAACCAAGCCTTGTATTTTTCCTGACCCTGTTGGTTTCCTGGGAAGTCAACTTTATTCTTTCTATAGAAAAAACACTCAGAGATTACAATTATAGATCACAATATTTCTTCTACTGTATAAAATCCAAGGGTTTTAGGATGACATTTTGAAAGAACTATTTTAACAATATTTTTTTCTGAATAGTTTCTAAATTCTTTTAACTATTGTCAGTTATCTCTTCAACTGGAAGGACAATGGGAAAGCACTCATTTCTAATTTGTTAATGTAAGGTATATGTGTCTGACCCAAAGACAACCCAGTGTTAAATCAACCTATTAAGTCAACCCTTTACCTTTGATTTTCCTCTCAAAGAACCACAATCTCAGTGGTACACACTGGGTAAAAACTACTGCCAACATTTCATTTTAAATGAATTGACATGTCAAGTTGAGAGAACTTAGGATATGAAAGCATTTGTAAACGGATCCCTATGTTAAAAACAAAAGTTTGTTTTTCTGAAAGCAGAGTCTATTCCTTTATTTTTCTTCTTTTTAAGAAATAGGTATTTTTGCTTGAGAATGTTAATTAGAAAAAAAAGTCTAGGTCAGTTATTAAATATCACACAGATGAATAGGAGTTTGCCATTCTACATAGTTTCTGCTAAAAAAATTTCCCCCACACTTGAAGGATCACATATGCTCTCAAAATACCTAGTTTTTCTTGAGCCTTCTTAGAATCCTAAACAGTATGGATTTTGGCAACTACTTTGCTATCTTTTAAAGGAAAAGGAATACTTTTAAAATTGAACCGTATATACAATAAAGCTAGGAACATCACGTTTTGCTATAGCTCCATGTATGTTATGAATACACAGAGATGGCCTGTTTCTAGATTCTGCCTTGGATGACATGAAAAAAAATAGTTATACTTCATTGAATGATTGATAAATTCTCAGTAGCATATGAAGTACTTTGCATTTGTGATCACTTTAACACTTCTTTAATTCACTTTCAGTTTTCTGACCTGTAAAATAAGTGTAAAAATAGCACTCTCAGAGTGATTTGAACTTATTTAAGGTCACATGGCCAATAACTTGAAGAGCTTGGATTTGATTACAGGTCTTTGTAGCTCTAAAAGCCCAGGATCCTAACCACTATAAATAGTAGACGGGCAACATCTGCACTTCCACATCTCAACATTTATACCCTGGCCCTAATCAATTATGTTGTGAAAGGGGCAAAGCTATTTCCTCATAACCCTGTTTTCATAAATATCCAACCAGACACCCGTTTAGAAGTAGTGTGGGCCATTCTTGGTCAAGAGATAGTTTGCTTTCTCAGTTTGCTTTTATAGAATCTGTTTGGACTTAGCAAAGTGTAGTCTATTAAGAAGTTACTGTTTTGAAGTTCACATGGCATATTTCACAGAGAGGAACCTACGTAGGTGTTTGACACAGACCTACTATGAAACTGTGCCCCAGATAGACTCCCCCAAATACTGACTTATTGGCAGACATCCACTTACACACACATTTCTCCAGAAAGTTCCTCTTGATCCTTCCAAAGAATTTTTTTCAACCTACAACACATAATAGTTTTAGGATGGGGAGAAAACTAACTTTGAATCTGCAAAGTTGAGTTTAAGAGCAAACTTTCCCGCTGAAACTGTGACTTCAGGGAACCTTAAATTTTTCATCTGTGAGATGGGAATAGCATTTGCCCCACTTTGCTTCACACCCCATATTTATTTCAAAAAATCAATGTAGGAAAGCATTCTATGAAGAAAAAATGAAATGGCACTATTTTTARAGGCAGGGACTTGGTGCCAAACAGATTTAGCTTTTAAACCAAATTTTAACACTTACTGGCTGCATGATGTTGACACATTATTAACCCTTAGCAAGATTATTGTGAAGATTAAATGAGATAATAATGATTCCCCTGCAACATAACAAGCTCTAGATAATAGGTTTTCTTGATTAAAATTTACATATGTGTGACCTTATTAAGAAAATAAAGAGAAAGGAAATATTAGAAAGATCTGAATGAAGATGTGAATAAATGTTGTATAGAAAGATGACTTGAGTTTATGGTAATTTGGGTTTGACTTTCACTCTCTAAATGACTGCAGAATATTAGGCCACATGGTACAAGCTACAGAACAATAACAAAACAGTGAAAGCATTTTCAATAAGTTTTCTTTTCTCTAAGGAGAATCACTCAATTTTTAGGGTTTATATCTATACCTCATCTTTTGATCCCGTGTTTGGCATATAAAGTTGCTTGATAATAACAATTGGTTAAAAAGATAACTGATATGTGCTTGCTTCTCCTGGAACCTTTCTAAATGTTCAGTCTCTCAAGTTTACCAGCAGTTCACAAAATCTATCAAAGATCCATCAAATGTGCATTATGAACCTAGATGAAATTATGACCATGAAGCATGCAATGTATGCAAAGCACGAAAATGATGCTGTGGAAAGTATGTTAAAAAAAAAAAACTAAAGATGAATTTTTCTCTTGAAATGTACTATCCCTTAAGACGCTGGTAACTTCTGCTGTGTAACAGAGTAAAATCTGCTACTTCTATATTATTGTTTTTTTTATTTTGCTTTGTTTTTCTTAGAATGACTACAAAAAACTGTCAATGCAATGCAAAGATTTTGTGGTTGGACTCCTTGATCTATGCAGAAACACTGAAGAAGTTGAAGCCATTCTGAATGGGGATGTTGAAACACGGCACCCGGGTGATCACAGCCGTCCCAATCTGAGCCGTTTAAAACTTGCCATTAAATATGAAGTAAAAAAAGTAAGGTCAGGCATGAAGCCCGTTTTCATTATTTCAGTTCCTACCACTGCTAAATGAGGATGAAGGCTTGGCATTGTTAGACTGAGCTGGGTTTTTCTAATTTACAGTTTCACTAGGCAGATTCTCTAATGAATCATACACACGAGAGGCACTCAATCAGCACCACATGTCAGTTTTTKTAATTTAGACTTATTTATGCAGAACATAACAGTGATTGCCATTTTCTTGATTTAAGTGATGATATAAAAATAGCCTTGTGTATACAAATTATAAGGTGATTGTTGCATGATAGGGATCTCATTAGAGTATTTCAAACTCAACTACATTTTTCCATTTGTTGATCTTTTTCAATACAGAGCCAATACCTTTAATTCCTTCTTTAGAGCATTTGAATCCCCTCCAGCTGTATCTTTATCTGAAGGATGTTTTTTCAGTTTTTGTCTTCATGCAGTGGTGCCTACCCCTTTCCTAGGATATGTAAGATCTTTTTGTCCCCCACCCCCATACCACCCCCTCTAAAGGAGATTGAACCCTGGGGTGTTTAATCTCTGAGCAACATTCCCAGCTGGTTTTATATATTTTGTATTTAGAGACAGGACCTTGCTAAGTTGCTGAGTCTGGCTTTGAACTCATTTGTAATAAAAGTAATCCCTGTTTCTTGCAAGTATTCAAATAGTACAGCCATAGCTTACCTTATTCTGTCCAACGCTTAATGGAGAGTGACTAACCATTGTCACATTTTTTCTCTCCACAAATTTATATCTTGGATATCTTCATGTATCAGTCAATAAACATCCACTTCTTCTCTTCAAAGCCTCCATTGTTGTATCAGTTTAATCAATTTACTGTTTAAGGATGTTTACTCCATTCTTTAGTTAGTAATTTATTACAATCTTGACTTTTTTGTACAGTGCACACATTTATGTAGCTTGTTTACTTGCATGAGTCATATCTGTAGACAAAATTCCTGATGTGGAATTGATATGTCAAATTTTCATTTTTAAAATTTAAAACTTTTGTTAAGTTTTCCTTCAAAGCAGGTGTACTAGTTTACACCCACCCACAATGTATAAGAGGGTTTACCTCTTCCACCCACAATGGATGTTACTAAACTTTACCATTAGGAGTACATAAACATTTTATCTAGTTTTAATTTATTTTCAAAGTTAACCATCCTTAAGACTCATTTGTAGTTCTTTTATATAATATTTTAATATTCTTTACTAAGTTCTATTTTGGGTTATTGTTTTTATATACTGAATAAGTTTACTCTCTGTTTTATATAAAAACTCAAATAATTGAGAAAAATATTTGTAAAAAATAAACATTTGAGAATAAAAAATTCTGTAAAAAGTGATATTTAAAGTTTTCTTAGTTGAATTTCTGTCATAAGAATAAAAAGAGCTATCAGTGGAATGGAACAGGCAGCCCAGAAACAGATTGACATACAAAGGGGAAGAGCAGAAAATAGGTTCAGCATTTTAGGTTAGTGCAGGAAATGTGGCCTAATTTTTAAAAAGTCTACACATTTAGGCTAGTGTAATCTTAACCTCACTTTTAATAGAAAGAAACACACACACACACACACACACACACACACACACACATACCATGCACAAACACAAATCACAAAAGCCCTTGTGGAAAATATTGATAAATCATCTCATAATATTACGTTTCAAAACAAATTTTATATGCTTTGAAAGAAAGCCTGTTAGTCATAAAAGAAAAGCTTGATAAATTGGAATCTCCAAATTTATACCATATGCAATAGAGCCTCTTACCATCTTGCTTGATGTCTGTTAATTAGATGTTTCATGTTTGTTCTTTAATTCCAACAATATTTTTCATGGGAAAGAACAAAGCTAAATATTAGAACATGTGAGTATAATTTATGCTGAACCGTTCTTTAATCAAGCTGTTAAATGTTTTCTCACTGCCCTGCTAGTTTGTAGCTCATCCAAATTGCCAACAGCAGCTTCTCTCCATATGGTATGAAAACCTTTCCGGTCTAAGGCAGCAGACGATGGCAGTCAAGTTCCTCGTGGTCCTCGCTGTTGCCATTGGACTGCCCTTCCTGGCTCTCATTTACTGGTGTGCTCCTTGCAGCAAGGTAGGTCTGTGAAGCCTGCAGCTCTGTTATCCTCCAGAAGTATGTGATAGGAGGGAAACATTCTATTTCCAAAATGAAAATTTCATGGAGGTATAAGTARTGTTTAAATAATCTGTTGTTCTTCATATCACAAAATAGTACACTTTTTGCTAGGGAAATATAGAAGTAAAAGTGGAAGAAGAAAAAATTCACCTCTGATATTACTACTGTTAATGTGTGAAAGAAAACCTTAGTTACTACATTAATTTATCACCTTTCAGTCCTTTCCCTAGGCACATCTATGCATATACTTTTATATGTTTTAATGGAATCATCATAAAAATTATTGATTTCTACTCTTTGTTTTTCCTCTGGCAATGTTTGAGATGGGAGTTCTGTTTTGTGTTTATTTTAGCTGATAGGACCAGACAGTCATACATGACAATCATGTAAATCCTCATGTGAACTTATTTCAGTTAAGAATATTTATATCAGGGACAAAGTACACCAGAAACCAACAACAAAAATAGACTATTTTCTTAGCAAAATCTATTTAACCAGGCTTCGGTGAAAAAAAGTTCCAGTGAACTTTGTGAGGAATATCAACCCACTTGTCTCTTAACCGCCTAGAAATTTGTGTCCTGGCTTGCTAACAATCCTATTCCTCATGTGTTTGAAGACTTCTTTTTAGATCTGATTAAGTTTATATGTGAGGCAAATTGAAATAATTCTAAAGCTGCCTGTGTTCTGGAGCATGTACATATGTGCTATGTGGAAGCATCAGCTGATCTCCCATTCTTCCATCTTGCCATTCTTAAACATGTACCCAGCTCATCTTCAGACACATGTAACACATGGGTACAAACATATACACCATCATGCCCAACATATCGCCTTCTTATTACTTAGTTACATGGTCGATGTTTCAGCCATTTAGAGAGCTCTCAAAATGATTCATTCTAGAAAGCTGATACAAAGTCATTCACACAATGGGAGATTCATACTTATTTCTAGTGACCGTGGTAGGAACTTCTGGGAACTAGACATTTTCTTATGACAGAAAAATCCAACATCATAGTTTTTTCACCTTAATATATATATAATCAAAAATCAATCTCTAGAAATAACATGAATGAGGAATATAAAATGAAAATAATGAGATTTATTAGAATAGCATTTATTGTGACAGATTTTCTCCTAGAAAGTTAGATTGTTCCCTCTTTTCACAGGAAGACAAATTTCACTTTGCAAAATAATAAAAAAAATCTAAATGGTCCTCAATTGAACATAAGTTGCATCTATGTATATATTTTGTTCTACTTCAACTCATATTTTCTGTCTTTGGAGATTTAAGCTGAATTATCTGTTATCACTGTGATCTGTTAAAATATTCTTTTCTGAAGTTAATAATTATCCTTTCCTATAACCATAAAATTCAAAAGCACAATGCCTTTTAAAGCATCTGGTGCTTTGAAACAGGCTATTTAAAACAGTTCTTTGATTTACACATTTCKTGAATTTTGATTGAATCCTAATTAACCTGATTTCCTTCACTATTTCTTCTTCTCTGGCCATGTTTTTTTCTGGCATTTGTTTTCCATCCTCATTTATGAGCAATAAGGCAAATAATCACATTAAGTGGACATTTCAAAGGATTTTTTTTCTGTTTTACTTTTTTTCGGTCTTTTGAAACATCATGATAAAATCTATTTTGTAATTTTTCCCGTTAGCAATGAGCATAAACATTATTTGCTGGTCACAGGATTTACTTTTTACTGGAGAGGGGAAATAGCTTCCTTTGAATGGATGCTTTTAAGGTATATTTAAATTATTTTAGAATTTCCAATATGTCCCATGAGAATTGATCCAGATCTGGTTGTTGTAAGCATCTGTCTCTTCATAGAAGCCCTGTTTCTGTTTATAGTTGGTTTTCTGTCCTCAGAGGGCTTTTCTCTTTCCTTTTCAGAAATTATTTGTCCTTACTTATTCACATTCTTCTATAGCCCAAATATTAGTTGTCACATGCTCATGACAATAATAATAGGTTAYACTGTGACTTCAAATAATCTTGGTTTAAGCTAGCCTTAACCCTTTTGATTTCTATGTGTTGGATATTCAGGCATTTGGTCATAAACAGATACCTAAAAAGAGTATTATATATAACATTTAAAGTCAAGCATTTCTTTGTATTTACCCTTAAATATTTGCCAGGTACACCTGTTGTTCAACTTATTCCACAAACTCTCTCCTTATTTTTAGTGTTTTTTTTTAAAGAAACCTGTTTATATTCCAGAAGACATACATGGAAATTTTATTAAGATGGATAATTTACTTATGTTCCTAAAGYCCACTGACCAGTGACAACATTTTCCTTACTTTAAAATGAAATGCAACTCTCAACTGTTTGTAACAAAAAATGAGGGATATGAGAAAACTCACCACTTGGGTTTCCTGACAAGCCACTTTTTGTTTGTCTGTTTGCTTGTTTTTTTTTTATTTTTTAAGAAGAAACAGCAATGCCTGGTTTGATTGTTCACTCTCCCTTCAGAGTAAAATGAAGGGATTATATTATATAAGGGTGAATAGCCCAGTGGAGAGGAAGACAAGCCAGGCAGGGTACAGAGAGGTCAGGTGCTGCACTTAGTTAACCGTACATTGACTTCAGAGATGTYCAGGCAAGCCAAGCTAAGCTTCCAGAGTTATCAGAATTATGGCCCATTCTAATGTGGGTAGTTTTATTTTCARCCCTGTCTTATGTCCCCAACCTCATTTTGTCATCTTTCATTTCTTTCCTATTTATTTGGTTCTATTTTAATTTATGTTATYTTGTATTTTTGGTGTCCTTGAAGCTTTTGTCTTATTCTTGCCAAAACAAGGCAAGTAATACATCATCTATCCATGAATTTCACTACTAGCAGATATTGCCCCCAGTTCCATTTTGTCCAAAACAACCTAATACATTTTTAATTTGAAAAGAAATTGGTTTAAAATGTATAAGTGCTTTTTCCATGAGGAGATGCTGAATCTGGCAATAGATTTTTGTTTGCTTGACTMCGTGATTAAAATAAATCACATATACAACATAGAATTAAAATTGTATATATGGCATACCATGGAGAAAGAAAGACATATTGATGTTTATTATTATGGGTTCTTSCTTAAGGAAAACAAGAAAACAAATAGATTACACACACATACTGAATTTTGTTCCCCATTTGACAGATGCCCAGATCCCCTGAAACACAATCTAGATCCTCTGTCTCCATAGGCTAAGATCTATGCATTTCAGAAAAATAAATGCTATACTATAGGGACACTATAGTTTTTACCATCTCCATATTTCTTACGAAGAATCTGATTTTCATATAATTTAGGAAATGTGCTCATTGTCACTCAGTTGATGAGAGAATGAAGCTGRAATCTCACCTGAAATGTTGGACTTTAAATCCAGTATCCTTCCAGAACATTGTTCCAATATATTATGGGAACTGTTCTCCCACCCTGTCCTCAGTTGGGAGTTTCTCTTCTTGGTACTCATGACTTTTAATCCACTTATACTTTCACCAGGATAGCAACTTCAGCTGCCTCAATGGCATGAACATCAATGAAGTAGACGTAAAGGCAACAACAGGGATTTATACACTGCAACGAAGACTCAGTTCAATACTTTCATTGTTTCCTCAATACTTAAAGCCTACTATACTAATTTACTTTCTATGAATAGCCCTGATATATGTTCTGTGTTTTTTCACCAATATCGTATAGTATCTTAAGAACTTAAATATCCTTGATGTAAAATTTGGTTTATTCAGCTATTAATTAAGTACATCAGCACATATAAGTGAAGAATGTGATCAAAATGTTATAATGGCATGCAGAAATGATTATAACACCAATTATATAAATATGAATAATTATTTTAGGAGGACTTTGAATTATGCAGAAGTTTTTTTTTCTTATATGTATGTGTACGTATTTTGCAAAATGCACAAAACAAAGTTAAGATTTTCTTTTGGTGTGTGTTATGACAGATAGGAAAGATAATGCGTGGACCATTCATGAAGTTTGTAGCACATGCAGCCTCCTTCACCATATTTCTGGGACTTTTAGTCATGAATGCAGCTGACAGATTTGAAGGCACCAAACTTCTTCCTAATGAAACCAGCACAGATAATGCAAAACAGCTGTTCAGGATGAAAACATCCTGCTTCTCATGGATGGAGATGCTTATTATATCCTGGGTAATAGGTAAAGGCTGATTTTCTGTCATCATTTCTTTTTGCAGGCTTAGCAGTTGGACTGAATGACACTGATTCTTTCACACATCAATTATACAAATATATGCAGCATGACACAATACATCACACATCATGATTTCCTTTGTGTTCTTAAAGCACGGTTGCCTTGGGTTCATTATTGATGTCCTAGTCTCCTCATATGACATGTGCTTTTTGCATTTTTAAAACAAAACAAAACAAGAACAAAAAAAATCAAAGCAAAAAAACAGGAAGAGAACATCATGGTATTAAACAAACCCCACTGGTGATGAAGAACTATCATTCATATTTTTGGAGAGCTGGGATTTCAAACTTGAATACAACCACATGATTTTATGTTGAGATGTAGTAGAAACTGAAGCTAATAGCCCCTTGCTTTTATTAAATATTTATCATATGTGCCAGGAATTTTTCAAAGCACTTTACATACATCAAATCACATGATTTCTCTGTGCCTCAGTCTTCTGGCATGTAATATATAATAACATCTATCTTTTGGACTTATGTGAGGATTAAATAGCTTGCTTTAGATCTCTCAAATGACAAATAAAGAGAAAGAATTCAGTCTTATTCACTACATGTTTTTTCCTTAGAATTCAATATATCCATGTCATGACATTAAATATAATACAAATGAGACAAACATTTCAAATGTGTATTTATTAATAAAGAAATTCAATAGCTATTAAGTGTCTTCGTGAGGTAATAAGGACACTAAGGTGAATGAGAAGCAGTTTTTGCACTTGAGAAAGGTAAGTCTAGGAGACAAGTCAATAAATCAATCAGTAATTAATCTCAACRTGACAAATGCTATACTTTGGGAACTGTTAAGATCTTATGAATATATACAAATTGTGCATCTAAATCTGAGTGAGGTGAAGTGTGGAAGGGGCATGGAAGTTTTACCTGGATAGTAGCTTCAATTTGAGACTTCAAGGAAAARGGAATGTTAGCTGGACAGAGTGTTTGAGAGATAGGGATACTGCAAGGCTTGGGAACATTAGATGCAGAGTTGTGAGACTCCAGGGTCTGGTGTTTGTGGATGTGGGTAAGAGGAGATAAGGGTGATGAAATGGACAGAGGAGATTTTCAGTGGTTGGTGATGTGATCAGATCACATTTCAGAAAGGTCTAAGTGGTTCTGGGGTAAAAGGTGGCTTCAATGAGTGGTAGGTCCAGAGGCTGAGACCCAGTTATGTGATCTCTGTGAGGAGGATGAGGGCCAGAACTCAGGGGATGGTGGAAAGGACCTGAGAGCTGCTTAAAAGATAAACTGCAAGGAACTTGGTGATTCTTACACATTGAAAGGGAGATCTGTGGATTCATAGATCAGTAGGTGGATGGTGACTGAAATTCTGTAAGAGGAAAAATATAGAAGGAAGTCCATGCCTGGGACTAGGAGAATGAAAAGTTGATAAATACGTTTGGGTTTGGCTTTGAAATGCCCATGGAATTTCCAGGTGGAAATGTCCGCTAGGTAATASAAAGTATGATTTTGGTAAAAGCTGATGGTTAAAATTCCAGCCATCCTCAATTTCCAAGTGGCACATAAGGCTCTGAGTATGCATAAAGTTACCTAGGGTGGTATTATATAGGTGTCAAAAGAAGAGAGCACAGGGGATCTGCCTAATAGACTTTTAATAGTCCATAGCTTTCTTCCCACCCAGACCCCCCTTTCCCATCTCACCTCCCTTCTGTTACTTGGAGAGAAATCTTAATCACTTTTCTTTTACTTCTGGGCCAGAACATGTTTGGTTTTTTTTTTGTTTGTTTTTTTTTTTTTTTTTTTTTGCTTCTTCACATTAGAGCCAAGTGGGATGATCAATTGAAATATGAGGAAGAACTGTGAAAATTATTGAATAATCCTTTCAAATGCATGTGAGTTAATTCAACAGACATTAGAGAGTTATTTATTCAAAACTTTGAATCTCTTCATTTTCTGGATACATTTGAAGGAAAAAGATTAAGCAGTAGCTTAACATGTAAATTGTATCACTAAAGTAATTATAAAGTTAAAATAAAGAAGAGTTCTTTAATTTTCACTATTTCTTTTTTCATTTTTTATTATGGTTTCTTTGTTGACTCATAAGTTATTTTTTTAATATTTATTTTATGTAGTACTGAGGATCGAACCTAGTGCCTCGCACATGCGAGGTGAACGCTCTACTGCTGAGCCACAGCCCCTTCACTATTTCTTTTTTAATTTAATTGATGAAACTAAACAAATTGCATTTCATCTCTAATATCTGACTTAAGAATAAATAGCCTTTGGATATTAGACTAATAACCTATGTGCTACAGTTTATTTTAAATGTATTAGAATATGTRCAATACATAATACAGTRCTTGGTGCATAGAAAATAATCAATAAATTTCAGATAATTAGATTTTTCACTAAGAGTCTATGTAACTTCTGTGTAGAGCTAGCATTTCATACTGAATACCTATTAGGCAAGATTCYTTTAGTTCAAGATGAAACTTTGAAAAAACTAAGTTTTATACAAGAGCATTAGAGAAGATGAATGTTCATTTCTTTCTTTATCATGATCTACCCTCCTCATAGTAACTTTTTTATTATAAACTTCAGAAGTTTTTTTTTTCTTTTTCATTTAGAAATGTAAACCAAGACTATTAAATTAACCTTTACTTTTGTGAATAAAAGCATTTTTCTTGGAATTCTTGTCCTATTCACCTTTGTATTTCACTTCAGAGACTATCTCACTGTGTTTATTTAAAGGGAAAGTAATGAACAACACAAAACAGATAGCTATGTATTTMTAGCACGTTAGACTCCTGGTCCAATTATTGACTCTGGTAATTATTTCCCTTTAAATTGTTGTAGAACCTTCTGGAAATATTAATAAGAAGTGGCCTATCTAGTTTAGAGCCTGGATGTATTACATTCGCTTGAGGGAACAGATTAACATTAGTGATCACAGAATTCAAACTTATCTAATTTTTAGTTGAGGAAAAAAAGCTGAAGGATAGAGCTAASATTTCAGGATGTCTTGACAAGGCAGAATGGCAAGCTTAACCAATGAGACTAAGGGTGGTGGTAAGGGGTTGAGTGAGATCCAGGAAACCTGAGGCGTATTTATTTGGAGGGCCCTATTTAGAGAAAAAGAAGACAAAACAGCCCTGGACAAAGCATAGGCAAGTAGGGTTATCTCAAAGCTGAAGCTTCATTAGCTTTACCTTAAACCTGTTCCTGCTGGAGAAGAACAAATTTAATGAGCACACAAGTGGGTTGTTTGTTAAAAAATTTTAGAGGCAGAGGGAGCTGATTCATTCTCTACTGCTCTAGAGGGCAGAAATAGAACCAACAGATCCATTTCGAAGGGCTATTCCTGAAAATTTGACAGTGGGATGAGCGGCCTTTAGAAGGAGCAAGCACCTGTCTCCAGATGCATTTGAGAAGAGAGGAGAAATAAGACACTCTCGCTTCAGGCAAAATAGTTCAGGGTTTTTGTTTTAGTGTGTAAGCTTCAGGAAGGTATCATTTGTACCAAGAATTCTATTCTGAGAGAGAGAGAGAGAGAGAGAGAGAGAGAGAGAAGATAGAGAAAGGGAAGATTTGAAAACTGCAAGACTGTATGTATTCAGAAGTCGCTTCAGTCTGTAGTCCCTATGCTTGTTGCTCTGAATGATCCTCATCTCCTGTTGAGGCTGGCAGGATTTTTCATTTCTGTTTTGAGACAGAGAGGAGAGACGGGGGCGGGGTGGGGAGAGAGGGGGCGGGGCGGGGAGAAATGCACTCATGAAGTATTTCCTATTACAAATTTGACCCACTAGAGTACATGTGAATTCAATTCTTATCCCTTTTTAACTTGAAAGAGCTGGAAAGCATTAGTGAAGTTGTCTCAAGTTCACATTTTCTATGCTACACTGAATGCTGGTTTTGAGAAAAGCATATGACATGCTCTTGGAGGGCAGAGGCCATGACATTTTCTTCATCTCAACAGGGCTCCATGACCATTTATTTGGCAGGTTCTGTGACAGACATTTAGGCCAAATGTGAGAATTGGGGCAGGTGGTTGCTGAGGATAATCAGAGAAGACTAATTTTAACCATAGACTTTGAAAGTCCTCCTGGTGGAAGGAGGTTTTGATTAGTTGTTGGTATTTGGATTATATTTCCTCAGATGGCTAGAGGGTCAGACAGATGTCAGAGAGCAGGGTATCTTAAAGTAACTTACTTTTAATCAAGTAACAATCTCCAAAGTAAGAAACAGAATATGTACTAATTGCTGTAACTTCTTCTCATCTTTCACTATGCTTGTTTTAAATGTGAACTCACAGTGTACATAATATTTTAAACTTTTAAAATTTAACTTTATGGCATAAAGATTTTTCAGATGTGTGTTAGGTCCTCCAAGAAACAGGCACAATGATTAAATGTACAATAGTTGGATTGGGAAAAAAATGGAAATTTTATTAAGGAACACTTTTTGTGAGAGAAAAATGAAGATCTTGCTGGGAAGGTTGCAAGGACTTTCAAATTTGGATGCAAGTCTAACTCTAAGGGTTTTAGAGAGGGAAGGAAATCATCTTAGGTTGGGGGCATCCTAGCTCTCAATGAAGACTAAAGCAAGTTTGGCAAGAAATCCTGAGCCAAAGTGAACCATTAGAAAAGACCCATGGATCCTAAGAAGGGGCACCCTCAGTCATTGGCCAGGAGCAGCCATGGGAGGCAAAGCCTTGGTTAAAAGATATAATGATTTTCAGAAGGTAGTACCTGAGGTCCATGGACAATAAAATTCCTGTAGTTGGAAGTCAGTAAAGCACATTCTCATGGTCCCATCTCCCCATGAAAATTAATAAGTTATCATATCAAATCCCTGTTTGATTGCCTATCTGTGGAAGTCCCTTTGGTTTTTCTATTTTAAGTGTGTAAGAGTGTTTGTGTGTTTTGGGTATTATAATGAACATCTTCTGAACATTTCTCTATGTGTACAAAGAATAGACCGATAGAATGCTTTTTGTTTTAGGCATCTTGATGAAGTTTGTCAGATTGCATTCKGGTGATATACTGATATTGCTGGACTGTGAGATTGGTGGGGATGTGAGAATTATGGCTGTGCGGGAAAGTTGGGGCCAAATTTGGAAGGATTTTGAAAAGGAAATCTCTCTTAATCATGAGAATCATCTTCTTRTATCACTTGGATCAAATGGCTAACAACCAATATCTATTGATGATGGTTCCCTCATCTCAGATTATTTTTCTCTTGTCAGTAAACATAGTTTGCATTTGAATTATCTATAKACAATGGAATACTATCAGGCTGAGAACTTTCAATTTTATTTTGTTTCATGGAAGAGCTAAGGCTGGAATGAAATTGACTTGATATTTTAACCTCTTTTTGATGCAGGCATGATATGGGCTGAATGTAAAGAAATTTGGACTCAAGGCCCCAAAGAATACTTATTTGAGTTGTGGAATATGCTTGATTTTGGTATGTTAGCAATCTTTGCAGCATCATTCATTGCAAGATTCATGGCATTTTGGCATGCTTCCAAAGCTCAGAGCATCATTGATGCAAATGATACTTTGAAGGACTTGACAAAAGTTACATTGGGAGACAATGTGAAATACTACAATTTGGGTGAGTTTTCATTATGCAGTCTACATAAATTCATAAAAATTCAGAATTTTCTTATACAAGAGATGTCACTAGTAGTCAGTAACTGCCCAATTCTCCTAAAATTATTATTTAGTTTTAAACATCTGTATTTGAAGAATGAGAAGCTGTAAATGAAAAGTCCTACTTTGTGCTTTTTCCTTTGATTTATCTACTGGGTAGAAATCTCTCTTAATCATGAGAATCATCTTCTTGTATCACTTGGATCAAAYGGCTAACAATCAATTTCCATTATTGCCTATCTCATCTCTTAGATTATTTTTCTTTTGTCACTAAATATAGTTTGCATTTGAATTATCTATATACAATGGAATACTTTCTAGCTTTATAAAAGAAGGAAAGCCTGTCATTTATGACAACATGGATGAACCTGGAAGACATTATGCTGAGTGAAATAAGACAGGCACAGAAAGACTCCAAGAGCTCACTTATGTGTGGAATCTAAAAAAAGTCTGACTCATAGTAGAGTCATGATGGTTTCCAGGAATGGGGAGAAGATGACCAACTGTATAAAGTTACAGTTAGGAGGAATAAGTTCTGATGTTCTGTTGTACAGCGTGATGACTATAGTTAATAATAATGTACCATATACTGGAAAATTGCTAAGAGAGTAGATTTTAAATGTTCTCAATACACATGAAAAAAAAAGTATGTGAAGCAATGGGTATGTTAATTAGCTTGATTTAATCATTATGAAACATACATATATGTCAAAACATTATATCATACCATATATATATATATATATATATATATATATATATATATATATAATTTTAAAAAATCCACAATTGAGTGCTACTTCCATTTAAAGACATGTAACTTATTTGAAAGCAAAGGAATATTTGAGTTCTTTCAGTACTCCCAGTAAAATAACTAATACCACCATTTCCCAACCAGGCTTTGAACTAAAAAACAATGTGGAGGCCTACAGTAAGCTCAAATACTAATGAAATTTAGGGTAGATGACATAGATCTATTAGTCAATGGGATCGATAATATTGAATCCTAGAATTAGGAAGACTTATTCTCCCAGTTTCCAAACAACAATGGACTAGAGCAGTCCTTCCCACCAGGAGTGGGTGGCAGCAAGCACCTAATCATGGGAGATACCTCTGTGGAGGACACAGAAGAATTCCTAAGAGGGTAGTGCTGAGCCATGTACACCCAATTAGTCAGTCATCCCAGTTTAGCAATCAGATAAGTCCCCTATCTTCCCAGGAGACAAATGACTAAGGGGTGGAAATAGTTTCAGTTATTTGCTTAAGAAAAACTCCTCCTTGTTAGAAATTGGAGTTGGGAAAAATATAATCCCTTTGAATACTTATTTCAAACTCTCTGATAACAGGCTAACACTTAATTGGCACCTCTGTGGGTTTCATGGTTATATCATATAAGATCTCCTCTTTGCATTATAAATTTTTAATGTTTATTATAATCTTTAAATACTTTAAAAATATGAATAATTTTAGAAGATTTCTATCTATAGATAATGCTACTTATTCAAAGCACTATAAAAAGGAAACTACATTTATTAGTTTTTTATTATCTTTTCCTAATTCTACTATTCAGAAAATAAGTGAATACAAATTTATATTTTCTCTGGCAGTGTTTTGCTTTTTCCTCCATAATGGTTTTCTTGATTGGGTTTTTGATGACTTGATATAATAATGCCAGAAAAATTCACAAATGAATTTTTGCAACATTTTTGTGGTAAAATAGACTTGTTTGAATAACTGATAAAAATTATTTCTAGTAAGTTTAAATAACTGCAAGTATTCCACAGGAACCAAATTACATTATAGTGTAATTAGTTTAAGACTAAAAAAATAGGAGCTACAATTTATTAAGTGCCCAGATACTTTCTAAACACTGAATATATGTAAACTTACTAAATTTTCACAACAGATAAGAGAAATGGGAGTGACATTATCTCATTTTTAGAGGGGGGGAAATAAACAAAGAGAAAAGTAATTTGAATAAGTTCTTTCAGTTGTGATTATCAATATTATATTGATAGTTGATCAATCAATGTACAGGAATTCTCAGTTACTGAGTCTATAGGTTCAGCACTTAAATATTATGCTATACCCTTATGGGAAATTGCTAGCAAACCAGAAGTCATCATCTTCTCTCAATGAATGTCAGAAGCTCCGATACAGCTGACACTAAAGAAACCCTTTAAGATCAGARACTTCATTTGTGAGCTATATTTTTAATGTAATTATATATGATTTTTTTTCTCAGAGAAGAAGTTATCTACATAAGAAACTTACCATCACTCTTGTCTTTGATTTTTCCTAGCCAGGATAAAGTGGGACCCTTCTGATCCTCAAATTATTTCTGAAGGTCTTTATGCAATTGCTGTAGTTTTAAGTTTCTCCAGAATAGCATATATTTTACCTGCAAATGAAAGCTTTGGACCTCTGCAGATATCACTTGGTAGAACAGTAAAGGATATCTTCAAGTTCATGGTCATATTCATCATGGTGTTCGTGGCCTTTATGATTGGAATGTTCAACCTCTACTCCTACTACATTGGGGCAAAACAAAATGAAGCCTTCACAACGTACGTTGTCTCAGCTGTCTTGATGATGGAAATTGCCGATTGAATAAGCATTCATTTAGCATTGTTCATATAATTCCATGCTTGGGTAAAGACTTCCTCTCTTGTTCTTTAGCAAAATGTGAGATCTTAAAATGAGATCTAAAACATAGGAAACTAAAATAACAATAGCTAACTTTTTTAGAGCCAGTTATTGTAGTAAATACCTTTAAGAATAACTTAATTATCCACATTCCACAGAAGAAGGACATTGAAATTCACAAAAGTTAAATAATTTGCCAAATGTTCCATAGCTTCTAGTATGTGGGAAAGCCAGTTTGTAGCCTCTTTTCAATGACCAGCATCTATTGCCCTAAAATGCTCTCCTATTTACTAGGGATCTGGGGCACTGAATATGATTAACAGCTGCATTCCTAATTCAATTTCTCAGAATTTATCTTTGGGAAAGTTCAAGTTATCAGTGATAACAAGAGTTTTGACTAAAGTTCACCATGGGCACATGTGTTTTTTATAAAATCTGTTTGGAATAGATTACTCAAATGTTAGATCTTCAATGTTACAATGAGAAAAATCAACTGAAGCAGAACCTACTGTTTTCCATATTCTTCTAAAGTTCATTTTTTTTTCAGGGAAATGAAACCACCTGGGTTAAGCAGATGGGTTTAGCTCTGATGAGTCATTATGCCTAAAGCACTGGAATTTCTACCTAAGGCATGTCAGTGATTTGGGTAACACTGACTTGTGTACACTGTTATTTTTTTCCTTAAGATGCATTCTATTGTTTTTTATTTATTAGGTATGAGTAGAAGCACAGATAAGCCAGAGACCTAAGAAGACTCTAACAAGTTATATTATTTTTATTAAGCAATACACTTAACATTTTCATTGTCAAAGTTATCAGTTATTTAAATGTTAGTATCTTTGGTTATGAAGTTATGTTATTGCATTTATTGATTGCCTATTCTGTGCCATAGATATCAAGTTACATGCTTCTTAAGAACACTATCACCAATGCTTGCAACGATCTTAAATATTATTCTAGGGGATATAGCTCAGTTGGTAGAGTGCTTGCCTTGCATGCATTAAGCCCTGGGTCCAAACTCCAGCACCACCATAAATAAATAAATAAATAAATAAATAAATATTATTCTATACAATTGACAGAAAAGAGACATTCAATGTTACTGAATCAACTCAATTTTACTATTGATTTTACTACTATTATTATATATATTTATATACTTTCTTACTTTGTTTCTTTTTTTTATTTGTCCCCAGAGTTGAGGAGAGTTTTAAGACACTGTTCTGGGCTATATTTGGACTTTCTGAAGTGAAATCAGTGGTCATCAACTATAATCACAAATTCATTGAAAACATCGGTTATGTTCTTTATGGCGTCTATAATGTTACAATGGTCATTGTTTTGCTAAATATGCTAATTGCAATGATTAACAGTTCATTCCAGGAAATTGAGGTATAATTTCTACACATCTGTATAGTCTGTGGTTTCATATTTTGATTATTCCAGGGCCCAGCTAAGCAGTGGGATGAAGTTATGAATTACTAGTCTTTCTTTATTGTTTCCCTGTTTATTTATTTAACCCAGTAATCCAATATAGAAGGGGGGTGGTGGAACTGTAAGGCATAAGGAGCATAAATGTCTTTATTTTAAAATATTCAAAAACTATTGCTTATGAATAACACTATTCCCCATCTTTTTTGAGTGATATTTAAAACCTATCTTTTCTCAAGTTGGGAGTGATAGTGATAGTGATAGTGATAGTTTTTATTCAAGAAATCCTGGTCTGTGTACTGAATAATGAGTGATCGATTACAGAATAAGAGAGATCATTTTTCAGTGTTTTTCAGAGTGTAGGAAAATATATTTTTATCTTTCAGTATATTTATTTATAAACACACGTGAGTTTTGAGAACTGTAATTGGTAAAACTAACAAAATTTTAAATATATTTAGAAAAGAGTGTGTGAGTAAAGCATTAAAATTTTGAAAAAATCCTGGAGCATTTTTCAGAGTGTTAGAACAATTTTTKTGTGTGTGTGCATTTCCCTGCTGAACAGTCATGTGTATCTGTGTAGGATGACGCTGATGTGGAGTGGAAATTTGCAAGGGCGAAACTTTGGTTTTCTTACTTTGAAGAGGGAAGAACACTTCCTGTTCCCTTCAACCTGGTACCAAGTCCAAAGTCCCTGTTTTATCTCTTACTGAAGTTTAAAAAATGGATTACTGAGCTGTTTCAAGGTCATAAAAAAGGTTTCCAAGAGGATACGGAGATGAATAAGGTAATTTAGTTGATCTTTATCATTATGCTCTTAAACCCTATGACCATTGTAATCACTGAGCCACACTCTAAAAAGTGTCAGTCTATGATGAAATGTCCATCCATGCCCCAATACAAGTTCTTTAATGTATTAAATGCAACACTGTTCTTTGCATTATGTGTTTTGACACAAGCACTCTGGAAAAGTTATACAATGCTGTTCAAATAATATATTACATTATCTGAAGTGGGTACCAAAAGGGAGAGTTATTTTGGGCCCCATGTTTGGCATGGTGGCTACAAGTTCCTTATTTCACCATCCATTTACAGAGCCAGGTAAAGCATCAGCCATTGTTTGGTGGGAACCTGGCACACGCTTAAATTGGTTTACATTGGTTCAGAAATCAATTGCTCACATGCTACATGGTAGACCAGTGTTGGCACTGAATAGCTTTAGAAAGAAAGGTCCAAGTATACTGATTTGAAACAATAATCCCATGAATTAATGCAATTGCAAGAAGACATAAAAGAGAGGGTAGGATGCTTGCAAAATGTTCAAATGTGTTTACAGCACATGAAGAGTGTTGTGTATCATTGGGGGTCCCGGGCAGAGGTTTTCCCTGTGCAATGATCTCTGCTGGTTGCAGGACACTGCACCAAGAAGAGATGTGGAGACACTAGGTAAACCCAGAGGAGGAGGACTAGGATGGGGAYAGGTATGTTGTCATATTAGGGAGAATTGAGGGACTGGGAAGTTTTTTCTGAAAAAGGAAAATTGAAGGGGAACAAGAATATTTTTAGACTACCCACTTTTTATTAGGAAATACACTTATTTTTTGTCTCTTCAAAACTAGGAAAAGAGGTAATGAGCAAAAGTTACAAACGCTTCAATTTTAATTTTATGTGAGAACAAACTTGGAACAATAAGATTTGTCCAACAGCGCAGCAGGCTGTCTTAGAAAGTAGACAACTCTCTAAAACTGCAGATAATAAATTCTGGATGACAGATATTAGGAATTTCTACAAGATTCTTCTTCCTAAGTTGGTGGGCAAATGGACCAAATGATTATGGAGGTCCCTCACAATGATCCAGTTCTATCATTGAATAGAAGGGAAACATACTCGAATTGCTGTTCCCTTTTGCACTTGTTGCCTGGGGTTCTCAAGTAACAAGCTCTTTAAGTTCTAGTTGCCACAACTGTAAGATAGGAATAACAATTACATCTACATCATGAAAATCAAGTCAAATAAACATGTAAAAGTGTTTTGAGATTTCTAAAGGCCTCTTGAAATTTAGTAATTAGATTGTAGGAATTTTGTAAAAATGTTCTACCAATGTTCTTCTTCCAGATGTATGATTTACYGGACTCAGTGAGTTGTATGGAAAATTTGCTTATTTTATTCAATGCAAAAGAGTGTGCAGTTTGTGTGTCTGATTGGAATTGCAACCTGAGAGAATTTGGCATCCGCAGGAAAGGTCCAAGCACTTATCCAAAGTGTTTTTGGCAAGTGCTTGGACCTATGAGAATGTGTTTTTCTTGTTAAAACTTCAAGAGTTAGACCAGTTAGCTTTTAAAATATGGACTAAAGAATTAAATCAGCTGTCGATTGTACTTAATATACCATCTATCTTTAAAAGAGAAATGAAGAAAAGAAATTTGGAATTTTGGGAAGTCATGAAGACCTTTCAAAATTATCACTTGACAAAAAACAGGTAAGATAATATTTGAAAATATGAAGCTATGCATATCATTAGTGTATCTTTTCAGAGAAAAAAGAGGCCAACATTCGGAAGCAATTTCAAGAAATAAAGAAATAGGTAACAGACACATTAAGGAATTTGACCCCATAGTAAATTTCACCTTTATTTATATCTATAAAGCATTAATTTAAAAAAACTAAAAATAAATAGAAAAAGACCAGTAGAGGAAGGGGAACAGGGGCAAGGAAAAACAGAGAGAAAGTGGAAGTATTGGGGACTAAATTGGAGCAAATTATAGCCCATGCTTGTATAATTATGTCAAAATGAACTTCAATATTGTGTACAACTAGAATTCACTAATAAAAATTATAAAAATAAAAAAGAATTTGACAATGTTCACAAGAATCTATTATTGAGAGGTAGAAATAAGCCTATGTCTAATTAGCAAAAAGAATTATGTATATACTTAATATATATGTTCAGCATATATGTTCAGCATATATTTATTTACTTATGGGTGATGGAATAAAGGGTAGGGAAGAAAAGGCAAAATTAAGAGAGGAATCTGTCGGGAGCCCGAGGCCTGGTATGATTAACTTAACTCTGCAGCTCAGGAGGAACACACACAGCCAGCAGTTCCTCCTTATTTGTCAGTAATCAAGAAGCTGTCAAAAAAAGCCCTGTGGGAATTTTGTAGCTATTGTGGTCAGCACCATTTGTAATGAGCAATGTGTCCTAAAGATGCATCAACTATAGAAGAAGCACAATCCTTGGTGGTGATCAGGATATTTGCTTCCTTTATTGTTGTGCACACCTAGCAGAGGATGATAAATACTAAAGTGATATTAGAAACAAGTGAATTAGGAGAAGGCAGTATATTAAGTAGGAATTCTGTTCAGTTGCATATAATAACCAAAATCATGATGTTTTAAATAAGACAGTTGATCTCCACCCTCTTATTTAACTCTCCAGAATTAGGCAGTGTAGGGCTGTTGTTGGGGCAAGTGTCTGTGATTTTCCTGGATTTTTTTGGTCAGAGTCAGATACAAGATGGCAGCTTTCCCTCCTGCCATTATGTCCACTGTTGAGGCACAAAGGAGTTAGGGCAAAGGAAAAGTGAGGCATGCTAGAAAATCTGCTGCCACCTCCAGAAGCTCTTCCCAAGAGTGTCCATTAGGAGGTTTCACTGGCCAGAATTGTGTTGCATGGAACACAAATGCCAAGGAGGAAGGTCATTTTGTTTATTTTTTTTAAGTGGATATTTTACCTACACCAACAAAATAGGAAACTTAGGGCCTATCTCCAACCTCTTGACTTCCTTTATTAACCATCCCAGCCACAGGTATATTGTCCATTCTCCATTTCCTATCAGAACCCAAAGGGGAATTTTAGGGAAAAGGAAACCCTGGGTCATAAGCCCTGGTAAAAATAAGGAGTATACTGTGAAGGATTTCTAAAGAATAGAATCCCAGGCAGGCTGTGGTGGGATGTGTGAATGTGGAGTATGAGACTCATGCAGGAATTTCACCAGGCCTGCTGCATCTGAGGCTCTGCCACACCATGAGGCAGCTTGGGCTGAGGGTAAAACAGCCAGAAGGCAAGATGAAAATAATCTCTGGTCTTCCAAGGCAGGTGGCATTCAGGGTTTTAGAAAATTGGCAGAATCTTGCTATTCAGAGAAGTTTTGTTTGTGTTGCCTTTAGGTTACCAGGTGAATCTGGATTCCATTTTAAAATGGTAGAGGTAAGGAAAACTTATGAAGTAAAAAGTAATGCATACAATAGAGCTTCACAGTCAATTTCACTCCAGAGAGAACAGTATAGTGGTTAGGAGGGTAGCTAGGGAGTCTGCAGACTTTGGCTTCGGGCCTCATTTGGTTTTCTGCCTGTTTTGTTTGGTGACATAAAATAAAGGCTGTGTGTGTGTGTGTGTGTGTGTGTGTGTGTGTGTGTGTGTTGGTTTTTATATTTCAGAATTTTGTGGAGCAGGGGAAGAAAGAAGGATATAGGATATATGACAGACTGAATGTGAATCACAGAGTGCAAAATATTTATTATCTGGCTTTTTATATTAAAAGCTTGCTACCCCTGGTCTTATGCTGATAGGTATCATGAATAGAAAACTTAAAAAACACAGACAATTAGGTTCAAATATTTTATAAGCAATTTCTATCATTGTAATACATGCCTGTGTCTGATGTACATAGAAAGTTGCTTCACTAAGACTCTTGACTCATTTGTAGAATGTAGGCGGTAATTGTGCTGACATCCAAGGGTGGTTCAGAATATTAAATTAGTACATACATGTAAAGTTCTTACAACAATATCTGGCACATAGTAGGTACATAATATTTCTTATTACTAGAGAGCAGAAGGAACACATATAACCACAGTTTGATAGTGATGCAATTACAGAGGAATAAGACTAGTCCTAAAAGTCTTAGAGAAAGAACACAAACAGAAAATGAAAAAAAATAAAGACTCTTTGTGAACTTTGTCCTACTATGTGTACCTATGGTCTCTCCAATTATTGTTTTCTGGACATTTTGCTCTACCAAACTTATACAGAATGAAGTATTGACAATTCCACTTTTTTACACCTCTTACCACATTGTCTGTGTTCTTTATTCTTTTTCTTTTTCATTTCCTAATAATGAGTTTGATATCAGCATTTCTCATCTTGTAGGTTCATTGTAGGACCAGTGAGGAACACTAAATAAACTTTTTGTTATTCATTAGGAGGAACAAGTAGGCTTCCATCTTTGGAATTCTTTACATTGCTAGAGGTAGACACGGTTATGGAAATGTCCAGTTAAAAAAGTAATTGAATTAGTGAATGGAGGAAACTGTAATGATAATGGTGACTCATAATGTCAGAATAAATTTGGAAGCCAGCATATATTAAATGAAAAATGGCAACAAAATTAGCATTTGTTGTGTATGCTTGGCAGTAACATGCAGGTGGACGCRCGCACACACACACCCACACCCACCCCCMCACACACAAATGTTAAGTTAGCTGCACAAATGCTGCCTTCACATTGGCTCCAGGTACACCACAGAAATCGGTAAGAAGAGCCATATAAAAATATTTTTGGAAACACGGTAGGCAGGCCTTTCATTATCTCCCATGACATCCTCAAATCTAATGGCCACTGGCTTTGGTGGTTGCTAGCATTAGCTTTTCAGATACATAGTCTGAAGGAGAGTGTAAATAAAAGTTGATGTCTGCCACATACTGTATCACATGTAAACCTGAAAGCACTGAATAACTTCGTGAATAATTGCTGTTTCAGCTTCAGAACAAATTTCCCTCAAATTGTTGGTTATAGAGCAAGCAGGTTTTTATGCCCTCTTGAGTTGGTCTGTTCTGCGCTGTATTGAGTGAGAATTTTTCTATTGGTCATTTGTCCAGGAACTGTGGTTTTTAATTACTGCTTAAGGCAGAGATATTTTTTTTTTAAATCATCTGATGAAACAATTACAGAAAAGCGTGGTGCCAACTGTGTTCACTTGGCCAGGGCCACTTCTTCATGTGATTTTCTATTTTCATATTCCAAGTACCTTTTCCCAGATCTATTGAGTTGAAATCTGGCAGGATGTCATGGAAATGTGTATTTTAATAAGAATTTAGGTGACCAGAATGCTAATCTAGCAGTTATTGACAATGGTAGAATTCCTGCTACAGTATCTTACACATTCTATACACCTTATCACTTTATCCTCATGTTAGCTAGGAGGTAGGTGAGAGTATTTTCGCTATTCTATACCTAAGGAAACTATGAGGAGGAATGATCTGTCCAAAGTCCCACATCAGCCAACTGGCAGTCAGAATTCAAATCCACATCTACTTGGTTGCAAAGCAAGACGAAAGCTCAGTGCAGCCCTGCTCCATTCCACACTGCGCTCCCTGCTGCCCGAGTATCGGGCCTACACCTTTTCTGTTCACTGTTTTGTTTCAGGCTTCAGGCCATTTAATACTTTTAGAAAGAGAGAGAGAGAATTTTTTAATATTTATTTTTTAGTATTTGGCAGACACAACATCTTTGTTTGTATGTGGTGCTGAGGATCGAACCCTGGCCGCACGCATGCCAGGCGAGTGCGCTACCGCTTGAGACACATCCCCAGCCCCACAAAAGAGTCTTTATTGCTTCCAATTAAAAGGACTCTTCACTCCCCACCCTGTGGCAGGATAAATACTGGCACAATCTACAAATAACTAAATATCTACGTTTAAATGCTACTCATATTGCAAGTTAAATTTCCTTGTATGTACAGAAGTACCAAAGTGTTACAGACCTTACTTTTCAGATTTTAAACTATTTTGGTAGCTGGACATGGGAACAATTATATATTGGGATTTTCTGCCACCATGTGGTTACAATGCCTCTTTGCATATTAAATTTTATATACTGTTTCTCTGTACTATTCAATTTTTTTTAGTAAAGATTTATTGAATTTCTGTGATATATTAGAAGCTGACTAGGAATTTTTGCTGAAAAGACATATGTTGTATTTCCATGCACAACTTGATATTTCAGATTTAAAGCAGAATTAGTCACACACAAAAAAATGATCAAAATGGAGTTGTAGCTGTTTAGTCATAAACCATTAACTATATTAGTGGTTCTCTGTTGGGTGATTTTGATTTGATGTCGTCACATTTTGGGTTACCAAAGAATGGGAAGGGAGCTGCTATTGGCATCTGGTGGTTAGAAGCAGGGATGCTGCTAAGCATTCTACAGTGCATTGAATATCCCTCCCACCAAAGAATTTCCCAGCCCAGCATGGCAATAGCATCAGGATTGAGAAACTAAGCCTATCCCCTCTGAATGTGTGCAGGGGAGAGCAGAGTGTGCTGCTGAAACTGTGTGAACACACTGGAGGTTGAGACATTGATACTTTCATATCCACACTCTAGAAAATCGTATATGTTCTCAAATGAGCAAACTACCATTTTCTGCCTTTCTTGGCATTGCTACCCAATCTGTTCAAGTTTGTAAGCGTCTGCCTCATGCCTTAACACCAATTCCCTGTTTCAAATGTGTCTTTACTATGTAGTTGAGTAGGAATCAACTGGTTCATGAACCCAGACTATACAAGTTTGGTAGAGCAAAATGTCCAGAAAACAAGTGAAGCCCATTAGTGACAAAAAAGCACTTTTCCTTCATTCATCTAGTTAATGAACAATTTTTGTGCACTTGCCACATGCCAATATAGGCACTAGGGACCCCGGAATGAACAAAATGAAGTACCTCCTTCCACAGAGCCTGGGAGAATGTAGACAATAACCATGCTATCAAACCAGTGAGGAGAAGGACTGTCAGTATTGACATGTGTTATGAAGTAAACAAAAGGCCTAGCTTGCTTTTAAGATCTATTTTTAATGGGATGGGTAGGGAAAGCTTCTCTGAGGAGCTTCTGCTTTAATCTAAAATACAAACAATAAGTCAGAGCAAGTCAGCAAGGCCAGGAAAAGTGTTTCAAGAATTAGGGCTGGGGTTGTTGCTCAGTGGTAGGGTGCTCGCCTGGCACTGGGGTTTGATTCTCTGCACAGCATATAAATAAATAAAATAAAGGTCCATAGACAACTAAAAAAGTTTTAAAAAATTGACCTTCAGTGAGAAGTGAARACATATGTTATTCATAAAATGCTAGGTTTGAAATAAGAGCATCTCCACAGGTCTGGTGTGTCATGGAACTGCTTAAGTGAGAAGGATTGAAAGGCATGGATATTAAGAACCACAGATTTTCCTTCTGAAATTTCCCAGAGAAGCACATTTTAAATTTTTCTATTTCCACTAACACTTTATCAATGTGTAATTGCCCTCTCAAGAAAGGAGACACCAAATAAATTAATAGTGGTTATGAGGTTGTGAGTTTATCAATGGATAGAAAATCAAAGCATAGCCCACCCATATTCTCTTTCTGGGTGTTGTTGCCCTGATTATGAACCTGTCTGTCTTCACCCTTCATACTGTATCCTAAGAGGGGTGGCGGGGTGAATGTGAGCTTGATCCTGGTCCTTATATTTAATGAAGTTCTTAAGGAATAAATCATAGTTTGCAAGCCAGATTTTTTATTATAAAATGTTAGTTAAAATTTCCAGGCTTTTCATGAATTTGTAAATTTGTAGGGGGCCACTCCCGTCTTTAACAGAAGGGATTACAGTAAGTTAAGCGTATAGCCTGATGTCTAAAACTAGCTTCTGGCAGAACGAGATTGTAACTGAAGACATTTATGGTCCCATCAAGTGCTCTTTTTGAAATCCCCCCGCATTGCATCTTTTTGGTTAATTTGATAAATTGTTTAATATTATCCTATTGATTTTAAAAATCAATATACGTAAAAATATATGGAAAGTTTGCTGACATTTTTAGAGGAGGTTAACGAAAAAGTTACCTGAAAATGGACTCTCTGTAAATAATTGTTTTCAAATTTATGTGTTGTTTCTATGATTTTTAATCAGTCTTTACATATATTGCCTATGATTTTTTAATTCAGCTGGACTATAGTATTTATATTCTGCTTTGAATATTCAGAGCCCAGCACTACACTGTATGTATAAAGGATTCTCAATACATACTTGTTCAGTGGGTGAATGTGTGTGCATAGTTATTTTAATTTGGCATGCGGCTACCTAAAGCAACAAAGCATTGAAGTTAAAGTGAGAATTTTACTTGAGTCTTATGGAAACTTACTTGTAGCTACTGAGATTTTGGGAAGTACAAATCGTGTATTTTTGAACATACTCTTAGAGTCTCTCTTTCCCAGAAGACAGCTTCTACCCCAAACATGGAGATTTGGTGCTGCTGTTTTGCTGAGGTTTTCTTCTTCAGTTGTAAAACCCATTTCCCTACAGAAAATACATTAGTTTTTTAATCATCTTTTTAACGTGCTAATATGGTACGTTATCACGTTTATTACATATTGCTTTAGTATTTTGTAAATCAAAGATCAAATGTTCTCTCTGATATGTGGATAGGGAGGAAGGATAAAAGTTCAGTGGATTAGACAAAAAGAAATGAAGGGAAGGGAGTGGGGATATGAATAGGAAAGACAGTGGAATGAATCTAACCTGACTTTCCTATGTTCATATAAGAATACACCACAGTGAATCTCTAATGTACATCTATTAGACTGGGATCCTAATTAGAATAAGACATACTCCATGTTTGTATAAATATATCAAAATGAACTGTGCTGTCATGTATAACTAGAAAGAACAAATAAAATAAATATTAAAAATTTATGAAGGTCACAAGAGAGGAGTATTTTGTTTGTTTTTGTCTTTTTGGTACTAGGGATTGAACTCAGGGGCACTCGACCACTGAGCCACATCCCTAGCCCTATTTTGTATTTTTTTTATGTAGAGACAGGGTCTCACTGAGTTGCTTAGTGCCTTGTTTTTGCTGAGGCTGACTTTGAACTCTTTATCCTCCTGCCTCAGCCTCCCCAGTAGCTGGGGTTACACGAAGGGACCACAGCACCTGGCCAAAGAAGAGAGGAGTTAGGAGTTTGAAGCAACCAAAGACAAAAAAATTATATATATTAATTATCCTAAAAAGAAAAAAAAGTAAAGTCATACTAGAATGTTATGTGAAAATTGTGTACCATACAAATTCCCAAATTCAAATGAATTAGTTAGTGCTTTCTTGGCCTCTGAATTCTGTCCCACAACATAGTCTTACTTTGCTGTTTCTTCAGGATCTTCATCAGACCCTACACCAGATGTGATTGTTGTAGTTAGTCCGTTGACTTGTTGGGCTCTTGTCAGTGGACACTTGAGATCAGCACCATTATTTCTCCAATGTGTTTGCCTCTTCCTCTATCATAATTGTACATATGGAAAACTCATAGCATGAATCTTGTAAAACATGATGCACAGCCACCAAGTCTAACAGGCTCCTCAGGCAACCTCTAATAGCTATTGAGGGACTGTCATACTCAAAGTGCCACTATTTGTATTAGAAGACTGAATATTAAGCAAGATAATATATGGATGAGGTTATTTTTTATTTTAAATTTATTTATTTATTTTAATTCATTATACATGATAGCAGAATGCATTTCAATTCATAGTATACACAGAACACAATTTTTTATGACTCTGGTTGTTCACAATGCAGAGTCAAACCATTCATGCCTTCACACATTACTTAGGGTAATGATGTCCATCTCATTCCACCATCTATCTGACCCCCATGCCCACTCTCTTCTATTCCCTCCCCTTTACCCTGGCTAAAGTTTCTCCATTCTTCCCATGCTCCCCACCCCCAAACCCATTATGGATCAGCATCTACTTATCAGAGAGAACATTCAGCCCTTGGTTTTTTGGGATTGGTTTACTTCACTTAGTATTATATTCTCCAACTCCATCCATTCACCTGCAAATGCCATGATTTTATTCTCTTTTATTGCTGAGTAATATTCCATTGTGTGTGTGTGTGTATATATATATATATATATATATATATATATATATATATATATATATATATAACAGTTTCTTTATTCATTCATCTATTGAAGGGCATCTAGTTTGGTTCCACAGCTTAGCTATTGTGAATTGTGCTGCTGTAAACATTGATGTGTCTGCATCCTTATAGTATGCTGTTTTTAAGTCCTTTGGGTATAAACCAAGGAGTGAGATAGCTGGGTCAAATAGCGGTTCCATTCCAATTCCAAGGAATCTCCATACTGCTTTCCATATTGGTTGCACCAATTTGCAGTTCTACCAGCAATGTATGAAGGTGCCTTTTCCCCCACATCCTCAATAACACTTATGTTTGTATTCTTAATAGCTGCCATTCTAACTGAAGTGATATGAAATCTTGTTGCATTTCTCTAATTGCTAGAGATGTTGAACATTTTTTCATATATTTGTTGATTGATTGTATATCATCTTCTAAGTGTCTGTTCAGTTTCTTGGCCCATTTACTGATTGAGTAATTTGTTTTTCTCTTTCTTTCTCTCTCTTTCTCTTTCTTTCTTTTTTCTTTCTTTCTTTTTGTTGTTGCTGTAAAGAAGCTTTTCAGTTTGAATCCATCCCATTTATTGATTCTTGATTTTAATTCTTGCACTATAGGAGACTTATTAAGAAAGTTGAGCTTAATCCGACATGATGAAGATTTAGGTCTACTTTTTCTTCTATTAGGCACAGGTCTCTGGTTTAATTCCTATGGTTGAGTTTATTCACATACATGAGACTATGTATTAGTTTATGTATATAACAAACAATCCCATATTATTTAATATAAAATTAAATTAAAAATCACATTTTTATTCTAATTACAGCTTGGGCACAACAAACAATCAAGTATAAGGAGCTCTGAGGATTTCCATTTAAATAGTTTCAATAATCCTCCAAGACAATATCAGGTAAGCATGAATTTTTTTAAAAATAAGGCTAGTTATTTCTAATATTTAGATTCACAATTAATTTGTTAGGTAAAATGATATTTTATCATGAGGATTTTTTCTCAATATTAAAATGATAAATTAATTCAACAAATATTTATTGAATATATACCATATTCCAGGTACTTTCTAAGTGCTAAATACAAAAGTAAACAAAATAGAAAAAAAAAAATTAGAGTCATATAACTTAGAACATATGTGTTCATTGCAAAAGGCTAATCTTAAAAAAAAAAAAGAAAGAAAGAAAAGAAAATTTACCTCAAATCTCACCTCTAAGAAATTAAGACTGCTTATTTGTGGCAAATACTCCACGTGACGTTATATGTGTGTGTGCACATGTACAATTTTTATATAGTTAATATTCAATATTATGTGAAATATTTTATAAACAAGTTAACAGCACTTACAAAATGAGTAACAGTTTTATATCCTATGTTTTGCACTCTATGAAACATATTCCTATTAATATATATGTGTGTGTGTATATATATATATATATATATATACTTGCTATAAATAGATTTTGATTTATTAAAATAATTCTCTATTTTTTGGCATGTAAAAAGTTTTTCCTATTATTAATAAAGGTACTGATATAAACATACTCATCGACGTAGCCCATTACATTCTTAGAATAAGTTTTTTTTGTTTATTTGTTTTTGATTTTTTTTTTTTTTTTGTATTAGAGATTGAACCAAGAGGTCTTTTACTACTGAGATACATCCCCAGCCTTTTTGGTCTTGATTTTGAGACAGGGTCTTAATAAGTGGCTTAGGTGCTGAGGGCTTCACTAAGTTGCTGTTCTCAAACTGACGATTCTTCCTGCCTCAGCCTCTCAAGTTGCTAGGATTATAGGCTATGCCACCGTGCCCAGCTTAGAATAGTTCTTGAATATAGAGTTTATTTTCCATTATTTAATTTTGGGCTTAGGTGATAAGATTTGGTTTAGCCATATATCCCTACAGAACTTTCTACAAACATTCTGAGACTCCTGATTTTCATACAAAGTAAACAATAAAAGCAACATCTGTATGATACAAACCAAAACTGGAAAAACTTTATCACATTGAAATTTGCTATTCCTCATTAAAAACAAATATAAAATCAACCCTAGCTACAAGTCTTTGTGGAGTGGGGTGGAGACATAAACAACTGGACATTTGCTTAATTCCCCCTTTGTACATGCAATACTGTGGTCTTTAACCTGCCCAACAGAAAGGTTAAGTCTGGCTCCATTACTTTTCAAATAAAATATAACAATGTAGATAAAGAACTAGATGCTTATTTCAAACTCATTTTTCTCAAGAATTAACTTTTCAGTCATTATTTCAGGTGCTGTGAGAATTATTTCCAAAAGAAAAACAAAATTTAGAGATATTATGTGTTCCCTGACACATCAATCATTGATATTTACTTCCAAAATGCTTACTGAAGGGAGTAAGCTTTGGAAATACATTCCAAATGAAAGATTGGTCATGAACTTAATAATGAGATAGATTTCTCCTTTCTCTGTCTAGAAAATAATGAAGAGGCTCATTAAAAGATATGTACTGCAAGCCCAGATCGATAAAGAGAGCGATGAAGTCAATGAAGGTGAGTTGAACACAGGGACAGACAGCTCCTGATGCAGAGCTGATGGAAAACTGGGAAAGGAGGGTGTGGGAAGACTACACCCCAGGGGGAAAAGTAGAACAGATCTTACCATCATCAGCTTCATGATGTCATGGGAAGCAGACTGTTTTTCCACAGATGTCACTTGCTAGACAAAAAGCTATTGTTGTGGAGGCTTGGAGGAAATGGTTGGGACAGGTGAAGGGGACTGCTTCTCCTACCTTGCAACATTCACCATTTCCTTTGAACTTGCCCCCGGGAGGACTTATCTGAGATAGTAGAAACCTGGTGCTCCATTAGGAAATACTTCTTTTGAAAAGATTCAAAATGAAGATGTATGTAAAATTGTGACTGGCTTTATCCTGTCCCAGCATTGAATCACTGGTTTCCCTGTGTTACATATTTATAGTTAACTTCTTACCACTCACATTTCAGGGGAACTGAAGGAAATTAAGCAGGACATCTCAAGTCTCCGTTATGAACTCCTTGAAGAAAAATCTCAGAATATGGAAGACCTAGCAGAACTTATTAGAAAACTTGGGGAAAAATTATCCTTGGAGTCAAATCAAGAGGAAAGCAATAGATAATGCCAAGACTTCCTCAAAATTTTGTATTTATTTGTCCACTTGAAGCTATATTATTTTCTGATTTATTTTTTTAAGTGCAAATGATAAAAAAAAAAAATCCTTAAAAAAATGCTATCTTGGACTATCCTATCATCTGAAACCTACCAAATAGTTCAATATTCAAAAAAACCCTCAAAATATCTAATATCTTTTGTTATTAAATTGTATCACTGAGGCCACGATTGTAGAGATGATGGAAATGTTGCCCTGTTGCTTGGAGTTTGCTTTATAAACGGTTTTCTTGGGTGTAACTATTGAGATGATGTAATTACCATGTAGTGCTTGGCTGGGAATGGCAGGGGACAGATCCACATAATTTTCTGTGTAGTTTTTCCTCCAAAGGTAAGTTCAGGCATTTTCCTTCCTGTTTGGTGGATCCCCCACTGGTGACTCCCAGCCCTGAAATATTGGGGGAAATAATCTATGGCCATTTAAAGAATGCTGTTCTGTCATCATTGACCTCACATTACCCCCAACAAATATGACCAATACTATGTGCAAAATGGGCTTACATCTATGTCATATGTTCTGATTAATCTATTTGAAAACATTATCCTTAATAATGAAAAGGTATTTCCTTTTCTGAACCCTGGAAACGTGTGTGTGTGTGTGTGTGTGTGTGTGTGTGTGTGTTTTGACTGTATGTGTGCACATGAAAGTATGTATACACATACATAAAATGCTTGCCCTATTTCTTTTGTAGTTGATATAAACACTCAAGAGCTCTTTATATTATGATTTTTTAAATTGTGACTGAAAAATTATTGTCCAAATATGGACCTTTTGCTGGAGAAATATAAAAGTCACAAACGATGCATTCATTTGATTCAATTATAGCACAATTTTGTGCCGTTTCTGAGGGCATTAACAGATGAAATTACATTTAGCCATTGAATGTAAAGGGGAAAAAAGTGATGCAGGAATTTGCAATACTTTTTTGTTATTCCCAATATGTTCTACTGTTTTCCTCAAATATATAAAACAGCAATTTGCTTTTGTGTGCTTTCACCAAGAGGTGGTTGTTATTATTTACTGATGATGTGACGTGATATCATAGACAGAAAAGAGAAATCAAGGTTCATTTGTTTATACAATGAGGATCAACATTCAGATGATTCTGGTCATTAACCAGAAATGTACTTTAAATTCAGTAAGGAGAAGCTTCTAAAGTAAATCTTCAGCTTCATTAAAAAAAAAAAAAATCACAGAAAAGCTGTTTTATCTCCAACTTCAACTTAATTTAATCAAAAGTCCTTTAGGTAACCAGACTAGAAAATCTAGCTGAAAATTTATATTGAGTGATTTTGTATTTGTGGATGTTTCTTACTAAGAAATTGCTTAGTGATACAACAAAGGCCCAACTTCACATGTTATATGACAATATTTGAATCAGCAGTTATAAAAAATTGATCTCACACAGAGTACAATATCAACAAACTAAAATAATCTAATTTCCATAAAGTTTGTTGAGCCTTGTGAGAAACTGACCTCCATACCAAGGACTGTAGTACGAGAGTGCATGGGCTTGGCTCCAGAAGATTCTAGGAAAGATTTTCAGATTCCTCAATATCTTTTAAGATGGATTGACTTGACAGGATAAAAGTTTGGGGGAATTCAATAGGCATGAATATGGATTTCTTGGGAAAAAATTGCACTCTTTAAATGGCTCCTGTTATTATTCAGAATTAATGTCCTGAAGTCAGAGAATTTTCCTCAAAGGACAGCTGAATTAGAAACTCTTCTAAATTCCCTTTAATTGGAAGATTAAAAGAGATGTCAGAGTATATTAGGAAAGATTTTAAAAATTCCAATAAGAGATTAATTAAAGGCATATTGGATGGTCAAATCATGATAAAAGCCTCAAATCACCAACTCTAAATCCATGACAATAAGGTGACAGATAAGTTGAAATGTACATATCCCAATTTCCTCTCTCCTCTGAGTTGCTCCCAAGGTTTGGGCTCCAGAAGAGGACACAGCAGGATACTTGCCATCCTGAGCACACAGCTGATCCCCTGACAGGGAGCCTGGCCCACTCCTCACCTCCTTACAGCAGAACCCACCACTAACGCACAGAAGTCCTGTTTTTGTACATCAATGTTTGCTCTCTGCTGCTTTTAGTACTATGAAATAGCACAAATTCAGTATGATTTTATTAGGTATATAAAATAAATTTCTAGACTCCACCATCTTCTTAAACCTACCAAGGATTGAAAGGAACAAAGTGAGTATCTGCACTCAAATGGAGAAATGGAACTTGATACAACTGAGAAATGTTTACTGAGCATACATCATGTGTCAGTTACTGTGATAAATGTTTCCCATACTTACTTTATACACAATCATATTCACTTTAGCTTCATATGTTTATTATAACAGTGTGAAGTAAATGTTATTTTCCTAATTTTGGAAATGAAAAGACTGTGGTCTTGACGGTTAATGCTGGAGGTAGCTGTCTCATTGTGCATTTATTTAACCCCTAGGTAAGGAAAATGGGCTTTACCTGACCCCCTAATTCTCTTAGACATCCAGTCGAGAGGGAGACAACAGTCCAATGTGAGGAAGGCCATGGATAAAGAGAAGATTTGACTTCAAATGCATTGTAAACATAGGGGAGGAAAAAATATACAAACATTTTTTATCCCAGGTTCCTGACTGAGGCTTGTAAAACAAAACACAGGTTAACATGAGAAAAGAACACAAGTTTATTTAATATTAGTTTTTTGTTACACAGGAGTCTTCAGAAATGAAGGCTCAAAGAAATCATCACACATGTTTTTAAGCTAAGTTTGTGGAAGAGTGGACAGTCATAGAAAAAAATTTACTGGACAAGAGGGTAGGATATAATTGAGGCAACCTTGTAAGAACTTGTCTGTAGGGATTCCTCTTGGTCTTCATGTCTTCAGGGATAAGGAGGTTCCTTTTACTGGATATGGGTCAAGTAATTTCTCTTGAATGAGGGCCTCCTTTCCAGCTTTGAGGGAAGGTCAGAACATCCTTCCTAGGTTTACTGTCCTATTTCAGAAGAGTGAGAGGAAGGTAAGAGAGGACTTCCAGCTTCTGCCATTCCTCAGATTTCTTCAGCATAAAATAGTCAACATACCAAGGTGCCATATTTGGGGGCAGTGATACCGCTGGTTACCAGTGACCAGTTCTGCCCCCTCACATGTTGAAGGACAACATTAGAGAAACACACCAAGGTAAGTCTATAAAGCAGGGATTATTTAAAAAAGGGAAACACAGACTTCTCCYGGAAGTGAAAAGGGGGCCCATGGCTGGTATCCTGGTATCCCAAGAAGCCAGGGTGTTTTGCCTTTTTATATGTCCTAGGCTTCTTTTGTTCTCCTGCTCTCTTCCCCTTATCTCTCTCCTTCCTGTGATTAGGTCCAGGGATGGACAAAAGGTGAGAAGCAGATGGGCTGTGGGAGCCAAGGTGGTGTGATCTCAGCAGGAAGGGGGAGTAATTAACAACTCCATGTAGGGAGTGACAATCCCTGGGACAGGTTACCTTACCAACAGGTTGGGGCAGGGGTAGGTTCTCCTTAAAGGAAGGGCTCTAAAGGAATTAACATTTCAATTCCTCCATTATCTGGATCTGATCCTTGCCTATCTGCCTGTCTAGTTCTGGCTTCAGTAGCATGTCCTGAACACCATCATTGTTATAAAGAAAAGATGGATAAAGGGTGCAGCTGGGGATGGTATAAGCAGGGCCAAGAATTGGATATAACAGCAAATATAATGGCTTTGAGTCAATGAGAAGAATGGATCCATTCAGGGGCAAATGTTTTGACTTTATTTGGGCCATCTGTCCCACCCTTCCTTAACTATTTTCATATGAGGAATCTTATCACCATGCGATTAGTGAAAACAACCAAATTTTTAGCTAAAATCGAAAGACTATATGTTAGTGCAGTCAAAAAGGCCCACTGACTGACTAGTTCCAAGAGAATCACTGTCAAGCCCAATGAGCAGCTGCAGAGCCCAGATGCATATCAGTTTCTCCCAGTGACACATTCTAATTATGACTTGTGTCAATGATGATTCTTTTTTTTCTTTTTTTTTGGTACTGGGGATTGAACTCAGGGACACTCAACCACTGAGCCACATCCCCAGCCCAGCCCTATTTTGTATTATATTTAGAGACAGGGTCTCACTCACTGACTTGCTCAGCACCTTGCTTTTGCTGAGGATGGCTTTGAACTGAGATCCTCCTGTCTCAGCTTCTCAACCCTCTGGGATTCCGGGCATGTGCACTGGGCTGTCAGTGCTGATTCTAATATGCAAATGAAGTCTTCCTCTTTCCTCTGAAACCTTCCTTCACCACCCTGTGCCAAGTGACGTTTACAAGGGTCATGACATCATCCTTGGCAGCTCTGTTGTACAGTGCAAGTCAAAGTTCCTACCTGTTAGAGTCTCTGCCCTTTGATGGAAAGAACACAGCTTTCCAAGTGCACAAGTTGAAAGTTTGTGCAGGAGTACAGCCCAGCATCCTAAAATGAAAGGAAATTTAAAATTCAGGTAACATCTCTTATGGAATGAGACTTTGACTCATAATCTGAGTCTTATTTTTATTCATGTCAAGCTGAGGTGAGAGATATACCATGAACTAACTCCCTGAAAGACATGGATAATAAGGGCAAACAAGTTTTTCTATTTGTAAATCTTTAGACTGATTGTTTGAATATTCTCCATTTATGTTCATAGCTCTAGGTCTAAATGTTTTTGGAGACGCTTTTAGAATACTTTCTCAGGCCAGGTGCCACAGCACATACCTCTAAGAAGTATGTAGGTCAAGAGGCTAAGGCAGGAGGATCACAAGTTTGAACCAGCCATAACAATTTAGTGAAAACTTTTCTCAAAAAGAAAAAAAAGGTTCAGTGGTAAAACACCCCTGGGTTTGATCCCCAGTACTTGAAAACCAAACAAAGTAAAACCACAAAGTATTTCCCCAGAATGAATTTGGTGATAATACCTATCAAAAATCTTTCATTTTGAAATTAATTTTTGCAGAGATTTATGACTGAATGATTATTTATACTGGTGTCATTTTTTGGATAAGCTATTTATCAATTTTAAATGGATCATAGGGACAGTGACTTATGCTTTTTAAATTCTCATGAAAATGACATATTGAAGTCAATCTTGATTAACAGTAAAAGTGAAGTTACCTACTAAAGCAAGCATATATTTATAATGACTATAATATTTTCTAATTATAATGTTATCTGAGATAGACAGAAAAACCAGAAGAAAGATGGGTGCCTTAGTTTGTGTGGGCTCCTATTTTAAAAGTACCATCAAGTGGGTAGCTTGTAAACAGAAGAAATTTACTTCTCATTGTTCTGGGAGCCAAAAAGTCTTAGACCAAGGTACAGAGAGATGATAGATTCAGTGCTGGTGAGGGTCTGCTTCCTATTCATAGGTGGTACTTGCTTGCTGGTCCTTAGTTGATAGAAAGGGCAAGGCAGCTCTCTGGGATCACTTTTATAAGGATTCAGTTCCATTCGTGAGTGTTCCAACCCCATGACCTAATATCTCCGAAAGGCCCTACCTCCAACTAGCACCACCTTAGTGGACAGGATTTCAACATATGAATTTGGAGGTGGGGAGCACAAACATCCAGACCATAACAATGGGTATGTACAGAATGTAAGAATTTTTCTTCTTTTCTTTTTAATGCCCACTCAGTGAGCCATGAAGTGTTATCAGTGTCCACTGATAAATTATAGGGACAGTAAATGAATGTGGGTGGCAGGCATGTCTCCTAGGAAATGCACAGTACATCCTGAATGTTTTTTCTAAAACAGATGGAAAACCCTGATGCTGACATTCAGAAAGTGAATCTTGAACTTTATTGTACTGGGGTTTTGCCCTAATTATTGTCCATGAAGATAGATACTCATATCACCATAAAAACATTTTTTTCAGAATAAATTGTTTACTTATTATCTTGTGTTAGGCTAAGAGAACTACAGCAATGCTCTGCTTCTGCCTTAACCTTTTCAGTAGTCTATGATTCACCACATGACATTTACCCTTCGCTCTTCTTCAGAAAATGGACTTTCATTGGAATAATTGGTAAAGGTCAAATTTTAGAGTGTTTTCTTATATTTTAAAAATGTTTACCCATTGTCACATGTTGCTATAATTTATTAACATGTAGAACATATACATACATACATATATATAGTCTACCATGATATATAACAAATAACCATATAATACATGTGTATATGATCAAACATATTTTTGAAAGCATAGCTATCTATGATCCTAGAAAAAAAACATTATAAATATGGATTCTTTTTCTGTTCTCATTTGTTCTTTCATTTTATTTTTTTCTTCATTTTAATGATTTTTCCCTTTTTCTAATCTCTGTATGTTATCTATGTCTTTTTAATGAGTTCTTTTCAGCCTAGTAGTTCAGAGTATAGGATTTGTAGCCAGAATGTGTGGGCTTGAATTTCAGCTATGACAATTATCAGCTATGTATTCATCAAGTTTATTAACCTTTCTGGCCCTTGTTATCCCAATTTTATAGACAAAAAAAAACAACAAAAAAAAAAAAAACAAAGTTCATCTCCTACATTGAGATATTGCAAAAATGAGTTAATACATTTTACGTTCAGACCAAAGTACTTGGCTCATGGTAAGCATTCAGCTAATGTCAGCAATTGCAGAGAAAGGGTGTGGCTCTGAAATTCCTTTTTCTACCCTGTCTTAAACCATCTCATCTTAAACCTTCTACAACCCAAGGACATTTAGGTTTTTAACTCATGTTTCTTTGATAAATGGCTACATAATGTCTTGAGCATTAGGCTAAGAAGGATCCTGAGGCCCCAGATGCAACCAGTAGAGAAAAAATGACATAAAGACAGTTACGGTACTAGATCTGGACATGGGAAGTTGGCTCTCATGCTGCATATTTGACATTCTTGGAAAAAATGAATCACATTTGAACAACATTTGGAAAAATTTCAAGGCACCACTACTACTTTTGATCATAATAGTTGTATCTTTTTATAATAATATTGAATGGTTGTTTAGGGCAAGGACCATTCTAGATCCTGCTCATAAAACTTTTATTGGTAACTTGTGATATTTATTGCAGTGATCTGGGCTATTTCCAGTAGCAGTACTAAAAACAACATGAGTAAAGTCTAGTAGTCTACCGAAACATTAATATAAGCAAGTTCCATGGAGCTTATTTTTATCCTGGGTAGTTATACAACATTTAGGAAGTTCTTCAACATCCTCAGAGTGGAAAGGAAAGCATAAGGAGGTCCAAACAATCTGTGTTAGATCTGGTTTACTTGCTCCAATTTGGAGCAACTTGGATAGTGTCTTGTCATTGATTGAGGGTAATAACTTGACTCATTCACTTTATTTAATAAGAACATTATCCTTTAGCTCAGTAAATAATTATCAATAAATTAAATTAATCAAATGCCAAATATTTCTTGTTAATTCACTGATGGATTCTAACCTATCTGATTGCTTCAGAGTCATAATCCACTTGTAGTTTTTGATCCACTGATAGAATACAATTAAACCATGGCTTGTGTCATTTCATTTGACATTGGGCCTCACTAATGAGCAAGACACAAAACATGGGCTGGGGATGTGGCTCACGCGGTGGCGGGCTCGCCTGGCATGCATGCGGCCCGGGTTTGATCCGCATCACYGCATACAAACAAAGATATTGTGTCTGCCGAAAACTAAAAAATAAATATTAAAAAAAAATTCTCTCTCGCTCTTAAAAAAAAAATTAAAAAAAAAAAAGACACAAAACAGCATGTCTCAGTTTGTCACTTCTGCCTGATACTGTCCATTTGGGGACCTATTACTTTTTCTTACATTGGTCTGACCTTGGGATATATTTAGGTTTTCTTTTTATTGTTTGTTTTTTTGTCTTAACCATTGACTTCTCACTGATGGCTTAAGAACGCCATGAGGCTTTATAAATAAAACCTGTGTGAGGAGCAATGATGTTTCTCCCTCTGTAGTCTTTTGGATGAGCTTCTTTTGGGGCAAATCAAAAGTCCTCCAATATTGTTTATGGTTGGTAAAAGAATTTAATTTAGCATATGATAAGCAAACCTTTTTTTGTTTGTTTTTGATTTTTTAAAAACTTTAAGAAATAGTTAGACTTTAAGAAATAGTTAGAAAGACTTTAAGAAATAGTTAGAAAATAAAATTAATGTAGTACTCAATGTGTCTTTCCACACTCTCTAATGTCACTTTTAGCCCAATGACTTTCATGCATCTCAATGCTTAGTGGAGCTTCTGAGACTTTGTGGGCACTCAGCAACACACGGTTTATTCAATTGTTTCATTGAAAATTCAAACAATAACTAAGACACAGTTTCTGCACTCCAAGAATTCTGAGTCAGACATGTAGTCTAATAAATGCTGAGAGCCCCCAAGAAGAGCTTCTTGGTGTGCATATGGGGATTGGAGGTTGCAAGCCTAAGAGGCTTTTGGTTGGAAATAATATACATCTTGGAAAGGACTGAAGTTAAACTGCAGCATGGTCACTTCCATTTCTCAGGGACAATGGGGTCAGAAAGGTATCTGTTGTTCAGCATGCTGCTTGTCTTCATGTACTATATTTTAAACAGTTTCCCAGAAGTAAACCCTAGAATGAAAATTTATGTGCAAGTGATTTTTGAAGAAATGTTCCCAGGAAAAACTGATAAAGAGGTAGGGAAAGCAAGACATGGAAGGAGAAACCTAAGCAGCTTTGTGACTCAGGTAAAATCCTACTAAGTATAACTTCAATCTGATCCCGCAGAAGAACTCTGAAGGTAGAATTTGAGCTGGATTTTCCTAAGGTGCCCCCTTTCCATCAGTCATTAGCTAAAGGATGCCTTATGGGGAACATGAACTCCCAGATACTCTGAGCAAAGGCCTCCAAGGGCAGGCCTCCAGATAGAGCAATAGGTTCAGGGATTTAGAATCAAATGCAGACATCAAGGAGACATGCTGAATAGGGATCTGGGAGGAGCACCAACCGTGTCCACTCCACGCCCAAGGCACAGTGCCAGGAACAGTGTTCCTTGTTGCATCAGAAATTCCAGGTTGCATCAGAAATTTTAAAATGTATTTGGTTTTATGTGGAACTTTGGAAATTTAAGAAATAGTATCTCTTTTTGAGTCTCCAGACGAGATGAATTGGATCCTCTTGAAATTAAGGAATTTCTGGGTTGTCTGAGGTTGGCTGTCCATTCCATTAAGTGGAATGATATGATCTGGTAGTTACAAGGATATCCTGGACATAGGGCAGCCAGACTTTTCAAATTGTCCCTGCCAGTTGCCATCCCCTTGACTGGAAGTATAAAATATGTTCCTTTGAAATGCAGTTTGAAGTAAGGTTATCAATGATCAAAATTAGCCTGAATGAATTTATCTGGATCTCTAAAGAATGAGACCCAGATGTGGTAAATTAGATGAGGAGAGGTTTTAGAAAAGATGCAGAATATGGGGGTCA